TTAAAGAGTTGCCTAAAAGGTGAGAAGTGAAAAGGAGGCCAAACAGAAAAAGTTTAGTGAGAAACAACTAAGCCAGGCCAGTGCTGTTGCCACCAACCACACTGCTGACGATGTGGGTACTGAGAAGGAGAGCCTGGACCCAAGCCAATACTACAAGAGCCACAGCCCAGCAGTCCACCAACTAAAGGTACCCACACAAGTTCCATATAGATGTCTCACTCACTCAGTTCAACCAAGAATATAGTCACCTGCAGCCTGGGGATCACCTGAGTGACATTACCTTAAAAGGAACAGGTAAGAATCTGCCAGAAGAGCTTCTGGGGGAAATTTCATCTTCTATGAACTTCAGGGAGAGGAGGTCAAGTTGCAAGTTCTGACCAATTCCAGGAATTATAAATCAGAAGAATTTATTCATATCAATAACAAACTACGTTGGGGAGACATAATTGGAGTTTAGGGGAATCCTGGGAAAACCAAGAATGGTGAGCTGAACATCATTCCCTATATCATCACATACGTTAGAAGTTTCTTGAATGAGTTGGGATTCCTAGAGATTGAAACTCCCTTGGTGAACATGATCCCAGAGTGACCTGTGGCCAAGCTTTTTATCACTTACCACAATGAGCTGGCCATGAATTTATATATGAGAATTGCTCCAGAACTCTACCATAACATGCTGGTGGTTGGTGGCATTGACCGGGTTTTGAAATTGGATGCCAGTTCTGGAATAAAGGAGGTGATTTGACTCACAGACCTGAGTTCACCCCCTGTGAGTTCTGCATGGCCTACACAGACTATAACAATCTAATGGAAATCACAGAAAAGATGATTTCAGGGATGGTGAAGCACGTTACTGGCAGTTACAAGGTCACTTACCATCCAGATGTCCCAGACTGCTAAGCCTACAGGATTGACTTCACCTCACCCTTCTGGAAAATGAGCATGTTAGAAGGGCTTGAGAAAGCCCTGGGGATGAAGCTGCCAGATACCTACATCTTCAAAACTGAAGAAACTTGCAAAATTTTTGATGATATCTGTGTGGCAAAAGCTGTTGAATGCCCTTCACCTTGGGCCACAGCCAGGCTCCTTGATAAGCTTGTTGGGGAGTTCCTGGAAGTGAAATGCATCAATCCTACATTCATCAGTGATCATCCACAGATAATGAGCCCTTTGGCAAAATGGCACCACTCTTAAGAGGGTCTGACTGAGTGCTTTGAGCTTTCTGTAATGAAGAAGGAAAAATGCAATGCCTACACCAAGCTGAATGACCCCATGAGGCAGTGGCAGCTTTTTGAAGAATAGGCCAAGGCCAAGGCCACTGGCAATGTGAGGCCATGTTCATTGGCAAAAACTTCTTCACTGCCCTGGAATACGGGCTGTCCCCCACGACTGGCTGGGGCACGGGCATCCGCCGAGTCACCACGTGTCTCAGACTCTAGTAACATCAAGGAAGTACTTCTGTTTCTTGCCATGAAGCCCGAAGACAAGAAGGAAAATGTAGCAACTGCTGATACTTTGGAAAGCACAAGAGCTGGCACTTTTGTCTAGAAAGTAATACTTGCAGGTCACATAAATCAGGCACCTTTGTACTTCTGTAAAACACCAAGGTCTACAAGGGAATTCTTATATGTTGCTATTCGTTTGACTCTCGCAGTTCAGTCACCAGAGAGAAAAGGAATTAAGAATTCTTCTTTTACTCCTTGTTACCAATTAAATCATTTATCTCTAAAAAAGGGGGAGAGGGGACAATGATAAGTTTTTTGTTTTTGTTTTTTTATTTTCTCACCTGAGGGTATGTTTATTGATATTTTAATTTGTTTTGGAGAGGAAGAGGGGGGAGAGAGAGAGGAAGAGAGAAACATCTCAGTTGTCCCCTGCGCACACCCCAACTGGGAATCAAACCTGCAACTTAGGTATATGCCCTCACCAGGAATCAAACCCGCAGCCTTTTGGTGCACAAGATGATGCTCTAACCAACTGAGTCACCCAGCCCGGGCTGGAAAATGGTAAGGTTTGATAAGGATGTGGAGAAATTGCCACCCTCATCATTGCTGGTGGGAATGCAAAATAGTGCAACCGCTGTTGGAAAGTAGTTAGATAGTTCCTCAAAAAGTTTTAAAAAGTGACCATATGACTTAGCAATTCCTTCCTAGGAATATAAGCAAGAGAATTGAAAACATATCTACACAAAAACATATGCACAATGTTCATAGCATTCTTCATAGTAGTCAAAAAGTGGAAAAAATCCAAATGTTGATCAACTGATGAATGGATAAACAAATGTGGTATATTCATACCAAGGAACATTATTCAGCCATAAAAAGTAATAAACTATTGATTCCTGCTACAACATGGATGAACCTTGAAAACATCAAAAGCCCACATATTATACGATTCCTTTATTTGAAGTACCTAGAGTAAACAAATCCGTAGAGACAGAAAGTAGATTCGTGCTTGCCAGGGCCTGGGAGGAGAGGGGAATAGGGAGTGGCTGCTAAATGGGCATGGGGTTTCTTTTGGGGGTGATGTAAATGTTTTGTAATTAGATAGTGGTAAAGCACAACTTAGAATATACTGAAAAAGTGAATTGTACAGTAAAAATTGAATCATACACCTTAAAAGAATGAACTTTAATGAAACCATAAAAATCCTAGGAGAAACCATAGACAGCAAAATCTCAGACATGTCTCATTAAAGTATGCTTGCCGATACATCTCCTAGGGCAAGAGAAACAGAAAAAAAAAAAGCAAGTGGAACTACATCAAAATAAAAAACTCCTGCATGGCAAAAGAAACCATCAACAAGATGGAACGGGGTCCTACTGTATGGGAGAACATAGTTGCCAATCATATATATTTATGTATGTGTATACATATATGTGTGTGTGTGTGTATGGTGTGCCCAAAAATATATACACACACTTTGAATCATTATAAAGACAGTGTTTATGAAAATACATTTCATTTTCAAAATTGAGTTATCAGCTGTTAAAGTGTGTATACATTTTTTTGGGACACCCTGTATATATTAATGCCAGGACTTTCTAAAAAATTAAAAACACACAAGCTTTCACCTTAAAGCCTTGCTATATATTAAGTAATGTATACCAATATGAATTGAACGGAACTTCCACTAATCTGAATGCGAGATGCTTTTACCAAAGATAAGAGTGCTAAGAATGAAGTAGCCTATAGGAAATATCTAATGCCTATCTTCTCAGATTATACTTTGAATGGTATTGTTATTGTCACAAATGTGAAATGACCTTTAAAAAATATTTGAAAGTTTATCTGACCTCAGAAATGTCAGTTAAGAATATCATATATATATATATATATAACACATACATACATGGTATTCTTGACTGAGATTCCTGAGGTCGGACAGATATACAATGGAATATTACATAGCTATTTTAAAAAGTGAAAGACAAATACCGTATGGTTTCACTTATATGTGGAATCTAGACAGACAAAAATAGACTCAGAAACAGACACCGAAGGGATGGTTACCAGAGGAGAAGGGGTGGAGGATGGGTGAAAATGTGAAGGGGAATATAGTCAATAATATTGTAATAGGTTTGCACAGTGACAGATGATTACTAGAATTAGTGGGGTGATCACACTGTAAGGTTTAAAAATGTCAAATCACTTATTGTACACCTGAAATTAATATCAACTATACTTAAAAAAATAGTTTTTAAAAGAATATTATGTAATAGTGGAAAAGTCATTGCTATAGGGGCAAATATAGCTGGATTTCAAACCCAACATAAAATATACTAGTAGCTTCTTCTTCTTAAAGAAATATTTGATATCTCTGAGCCTCTGGTTCCTCGTCTGCAAAACCTAATATGGTTGCTGTAAGGATTTAGCGAGATACCATGAATTAAACAGACTGTGCCCCCTGCACATATTCTTGCTACTCCTTCCTAGAACACCTCCCACCCCATCTCTCCTCCTGACACACACACACACACACACACACACACACACACACACACCCCTAATACAGACCAAGTTCGGCCTCCTTCCTGTATGTTCCCATTGAATGCAGGAATTACCCTAATGAAGCACTTAACATTCTCTGTTGAATTTTCATGTTTATTTGCCTGTCTTCCCCAGAAACCTAGGTTCTTTAAGGGGGGAGGGGGAGAATAATCTACCATTATATATATATTTACCTAACTAGCGCAGTAAACATTTGAAAAACTGAATTTTAGTAACATATTTAACATTATACTGGGTTCAGAATAGTGCCTTAAAAAGGTATAATGTGTCTGTGTTTTGCTTTCTGTTAGGACATAAATCAACCTGAAGCTTTTTTAAATTTACAATATGTGGTGATTTATGTTAAGTGGAAATATTTTTATTACTGGTTATACCTATGAAATGAAGAGAATGTTCCTTATCTGTGTTGTAATACACTACTTGTATTTATATATTTATCTTTGTAATTTGTACATTATGTTTTCTTGTAATATCCAAGTATATATATGCTCACTAACTTAAAAATTTATTTTACAAGTGTCTAAAGAATTTGCAGTTTAATGTACATATTTCATGCCATTCTTCTCCATCTGAGGTTAGACTTAGAAAGAAATAGTGAGCTTGGAGGCAATGCTGTGGATTTAAGAAGGCCTGTGAAATATATAAAAATTAAATCATTTTAAGCAATGTAACTGAAACTTGCTCTTACCATTTTTCATTTTAAATATCTTCCAAAATGATAATAATAATAATAAAAAGCAGGCAATAATTACTTTTGGGTGGAAGGAATGAAAATAAGGGGGCATTAGGGAAGTTTTTAATTGGTACATTTTGTTCTCTGGATTTAGCATATTTTCCATACATGTACCTGTCTAAATTATTTACAAAAGCTTTGCTGAATGTTATTAACTGCATAATAAAACGGAGGTATGGAAAAATAGAAGTAATGTTTATGTTTATATAAATCACCAAGATTTCTTTGAAGTCTCATAACTATACTTCTTTTTTCAGGTACAGAGAACTACAACTTAGTACAGAAAGCAAAGTAACAGAATTTCTCCATCAAAGTAAATTAAAATCTTTTGAAAGTGAACGTGTTCAACTTATACAAGAGGAAACTGCAAGAAATCTCACACAGTGTCAGTTGGAATGTGAAAAATATCAGAAAAAATTGGAGGTACATGTACAAACTTTTCTTTCAATAGCATAGCATGTGAGCTCCATAAGTATAAGGTTTATATCACATTGAGCTTTATAAATAATATTTGTGTTATGTATGAGAAAGGGCCTGGGTCCTTTTTTAAAAGATCTCTTATGAAAAGGACCTATGTTCCTCTTCTAGATAAATAGGTGGAAAGAAGGAATGGAATGTTTCCAAAAGAAATGCAAATTGATAAGAAATAAATGAAATTATGTGTTCTCCCTAATAATTAAAGAAATGTAAATTTAAACTTTTTTTACCTTTATATAGGTTTCTTTATTGTTTTTAAAGTACTGGCAAGAGTACCCTTAAATGGGGAAATCTCATGTAGTTAGAAAATGGAACATCCCTTCTGGAAAACAATATGATAATCTGGTTAATGTTTTTAAAAAATTGATCCAGTAATTTTAGTTAAAGGAATTTTACCTAAAGAAATAAAGATTTATATTAATAGCATACATCACAGTATTATGTATTACAGTAAAAATTTGAAGTAACTTAAATGTCTAATAGATAAATTAGAAGATTTTCAATTAATATAAGTTTTACATATTTCTGTATTCATGCATTGTATGATTGCATGCAATCATGTTTTTGAATATTTTAGATTTGGGGAAAACATTCATTGAAAACATTGAATGAAAGTTTCATTGATCTCATTGTCATGATTAATTAGCAAACTTTACAAGTGTTTATTACAATATCTCAGAGATTACATTTCTGAAAAGTACTTTGATAAGTAAAACTAAGATTAACAAAATAAGGGGTTTCTCAGAAAATAAAGCCTTAGGGAAAACAAAAATGATATTAAATACATATATATATTTAAGAAAAACACAAGTAAAAATTGTAGATGGTGTCCACTGCTAAAGCAAACCAGTGTTTAGCATTTAAGATTTTTTCAGATACCTTCTTCGGGTAACTGCCACAGTCATAATTTACTATGGCAGATTCTTTCAGATATTTTCGATGAGACTGCATTAGACTGATTTGGAATTCATCTTTTGCAAGTTACGTTTTCCATGGTTTAATTTCATAACTTCTTTTCTTTTCCTTTTCCTGTTGCATGGCTGTGCTTAAGAATGTGTCTTGGAGCAAGGGGGTGGGGGTATATAGGAAAACAGAGAAACACTTCCTTTCTCTCTGTACTTCTGAAACAAACATTTCACTAAACACTACACAACATACAGTGCTGATGGTTTTCTAAACCATTCTATTTTGTTATTTTTAGCTGGTTGCAATCCAGATTGATTTCGTGACCTTGTAAAGGTTGTAGCTTGCAGTATGGAAAACGCTGTCCCGTGGACCTACCCTCTTGATCTGTGGGTGGAGGCATTCCTTCATGTAAATGTCTCATGGAAAAACACCTTTGCAAAAAATATTGTGATCCTAAAAACTCTGGCTGATAAAACTGAAGCTTTAGGTTAATTTCTGTACATTTTCTCCTCTTTTAAACTAGGAGCCTTGAGAGGACAGGGACTGTTCATTTATCATTGCATCATGGTGGATGCTCAATAAATGTTTTATGAGTGAATGAGTGGTTTGATGAATGCTAGTATGGTAGGTACCATTGTTTGAATCTATTTTTCTGAAATACTAAAAAGTGTTTATAAGAAAATTCTTATTTAAAATGAACTTAAAGAAAAATAATTTTGTGAAGGGTAAAGATTATTACAATTGTGTACTTTTCTGTGGCTTTTACCCAATATTCTCATGTATTCATAACTTATGGACAATTTATTTTGTCTTAATTATCAATTGGCAAAGGTTCTCAAAACACTGGCTTTTTATAGTTTGTCTTTTTAAAAAGCAATTATTGCCTATAATTTTGTATTACATATATATAATTTTTCAACAATGTAATTTTATATTATCATTAAGTTACTTAAAAGGAAGAACTATCCACTGAGAGCTTGATATTTAATGGGTTCCTAAAAGCAGTTGACCTAATTTACATATTAATGTTTCAGCTCAAATGTTTATATATTGGTTTTTCCTGAAGAATCTTTATTAGAATAGCCTTCCATAAGTCTAATAATAAAGTTCTTTGGCTTTCCAGAAACAGTGGTGAATCTGTTTAGAGCAGTCACTCAGACAAATCCATACTGAAAGGGAATTCTCCCCCATGGGGTACAGAGGTATTAGACAATACCCCCAATCAGAAGCTTCTGGGGATTTCTCCTCTATATCATGAAGAGAGAATTTTAAATTATATTAAGCGTCAACTTAATACTACTTTTAAAATCTCATCTTAAAATAACATTTTATGAAATAAACTATTTTCACCTTTCTGATTCTTTATCTCTTTAGATACCTGTTTCTGCAGTTTTCCTTTGTGTGTGTTTTTGTTGTTGGGTGAAATGGGATACAGATGAAAAATATCAGCTGTTCTGTGGGAACAGTCATTTAGCACTGTCTTTACTGATCCTCTCTTTTGACAGTGGAATTAATAAGTACCATAAGCAACCATATTCTTCATGAATTATACCCCAATGTAATGAATTCTGTGAACGCCCCAGATTGTTTCACTGTGTAGTGATTTCTTTCTAATGAATTAATAAGTCTCTAGAAAATTTCTGGTGAGCAAGAAGAAATAATGCTAAAACTTGAATTTTCTTTTTCTGACCCAATCAAGGACATTAGAAATCATCCTAAAAATATTCCCATGTTGTTCTTTCTCCACCCTTCAAAGGAATGTATTTGGAGCATAGGGGATAATGCTTAATTTACTTTGAGAAGTTTTAATGGAAATAATTGAAGGAAATGAGATAGAATAGATTAAGGAAAATTAAGTTGTAATTTCTACTTGTTAAAAACTGTAAATAGGTCTGCATATTCTTTTTCCACCTCCTAGAAAGCACTCAATCACATACATTTGTTAAGGTGAACTTTATGTCAGTAAAGAAAATACATTTTCTTCAAAATTGTTTAATTGCAGAGAATTCAGGGTAATTAAATTTATACAACTATATTTCTATGAGCCATTTAATACAAACTTTTATAATTGTGCTTCTTACAGTAGTAATAGTATTTTTCAACACTTACTGTGTTCACTGCACTCTGCTAAGCTCTGTGAATTTAGCATCTCATGTAATCCTCCAACAATATTTTGTGGAAAATCTAGAAAGAATAAGTAATTGCCTAAGATCACAACTAATAAGTGCCAAAGGTAGGACTGAAATCGAGATCCTATTCTGTTGCTTCTCAGGAAATACACCTTATGCTGTGTGAGGAAGCAAGTGTGATACCACTCCATAATTTAGTCTGTACCAGTCTATAAACTTTCTAGGTGATTGCAATTTAAGCATTAAAACATCCCATTATCACTAGAAATGTCTCCTTTTTTGGTGAATTCATTATAATCATAGTGATTCCTTCAATGAATAATTATTGAAGAATATTGGATTTTTTGTTCTTACACAAAATAACTCCATTTCCATGCCTTTTGTATCATTTTTTTTTTTAATCATTTTTTATTCTTTTTATACGAAGGCATTTTCTGATATTGCCCCTAGTAGCATTTCACATTTACATTTTGACTTGCTGCTTTCAAGTTATGATTGTTCAAGAAACCAAAAATCTTATTGAAAACATGGCAAGGGTAAGATAAAATGGGCACTGATGCAGAACTAAAGGGCTCATTTTGAGTGTATCACTTTGCACACAGCTTTATAAGCCTTTCCCAAATGGCTGCGATCTCCAGATAAATGGCCTCCAAGTAAGTATGGTGTTATTGCATTTTTTAATTCTAACAAGCAAATCCTAGCCTTACTCCTATAGCTATTTCCAGTTTTAAATTTGTTTTTTATTCAATTATATAATAAAGTGCTTTGTAATTTTCAATTAAAAACAACTAAAATGTTTTCTGTAGAAATAACTGTATTTTACTTTCTTAGTCATCACAGTTGAGCTACTTTCACTTCATATCTAAATCATTAAAAAAGGGGGGGAGACCAAAATATTTGTGTGGCATATTTTTGTCTTAACTGTTAAATTATTTAATCTGCCTTTGCGATTTTTTTTTTTCTTTCACTATTAGGTTTTAACTAAAGAATTTTATAGTCTCCAGTCCTCTTCTGAAAAACGCATTACTGAACTTCAAGCACAGAACTCTGAGCATCAGGCAAGGCTAGACATTTATGAAAAATTGGAAAAAGAGCTTGATGAAATAATAATGCAAACTGCAGAAAGTAAGCCTTCCCCTTGCCCCTCCACCCATACAGCTTTTTTGTTTTTGTGTTTTGTTGTTGACACCGCAAGGAACCTGGTATTATTTCTAGAACTGCTTTGGCATATTTCTTTCAAATATAATTGGTGGCTTTTTTAAAAGAATATTTTACATTTTAGAAATCAGTCGTAATTCTAGTAGTTGAGATTAAAAACATAGGTTAACTGTGGTAGATTTTGTCTTTTTATTTATTTAGTTCACTCCGTCAGTGATTATTAAGTGTTTACATATGCCTGGATCTGGGGATATGGAGTTCATACAATAACGCTTGCTTATAGGGGTTCCTTGTTTAGTCTATTGGGAGAGACAAACATATTAACAGGTAATTAAAGTGGTGAGGTAAGTGCTATTAGCAAGAGATAGGCAGTCTTGGTGAAAGTACAGAAGAGATCCTGAGTTAATTCAGCCGTAGTGGTGAAGAATATCTAAGGGAGTAAATAACATTTAAATAAGTCTTGAACAACAAATAGAAATTCTTTGAATCTACTATGTTATAATCTTTGACTCTAATTTCTACTTTATTTTTTCCTGTGTTGTCCCTGACTCTAAGGAAATATTTTAAATTAACATTTCACAATTGACTATGATATTTACTACAGTACATTATTTTTGTTCAAAAGTGAGAAGTAACAGTGACTTTCTTATAAAAGTGGATTTAAGCTTCAGTTGAAGTTGACATTAAATTTGATCATTTGGGGAAACATTTTCTTGTAAAGACTATATTATATTTATAGGCAAATTTAAGAAAAACTGTTATTTCATTCCCTTCACTGTCTTTTTTCCATTTCCAAGGTCCAATCATTGCATTAGTTTTCAAATTTATCTTCAGTTTCTTCACTGGAGTCTGAGTAATCTTTACAGGTTTGATTGCACAATGGCACCAGCTTTAATACCTCTGTCATCTTAAGACAACCTAAAGTCAAATTCCTTAGCATGACTTTTTTATGATTAGACTCATTTATTTTTCTACTTTTCATGCCTTACCATTTCATAGCGTATCATATCATCTTGAAAGTTCCATACTCTTTCTTAGCTCTTATAATTTTGCATATGTCCTTCTGTCAAAGCAAATTAGGAATAGAAGGAACTTCCTCAGTCTGATAAAGATTATCTAAAAAAAAAAACCTATAGCTAATATTATAACTAACAATTAAATATTAAATCTCCCTTTAAGGGAGACATCAGGGCAAGGATTTATATTTTCATAACTTACATTAGACATTGTAATTGAGCTCCTACGAAGTAATATAAAACAAGAAAGAAGGAAGTATAAAGATCAGAAAGGAAGAGTAAAACTATTTTCAAGTTACAAAACAATCACAGTTTACTGATAAGTAAATTTAACAGGTATCCTTAAGATTTGTACCTTTTACTATATGTAAATTTTTATTTTTTACAAAAGAACTATAAATAAATATTGAACTATAGTTGATGATTTACATGTTGAACTGTTGCAGTCAACAGATTCATAGGTTGATATGGGAATGGAAAGATGTGTGATAAATAAATATAGTTCAGTCTTTAATTTAGAATCCAGATATTGCGTGTATGAGTGTACACTATATACCTTTTTCAACTTTTCTGTGTAAATATTTTTAAATAAAATCTTTAGAAGAAATATAGAAATTACTTTTTGCTATGATATTGTATAAGCCATTTTAAAACCATCTTAGAATAAAATATATTTACTTGTACTTAGAAGATCAAGAAACTAGGCCCTTCTCTCTCCATTCACATTGGAAATTAGAATATTTTTATTCTTATTTTATGAATAGTTATTGATTAACCAAAGTTTTAAAGATGTAAGCACAAAACACTCTTTTAGTACTACAGTGTGTACAATATTCAAGGGATTACCATCTAATTCAGCTAATTTCAGCTGACATAAAGATGGTTAGACTTCATTAAGGTGTAACCATGGCAAATTACAATGTCCTGTTTACACTTGAATTGCTCTTTCTAATCAAATAAGTGTGTTATTTGAATATTTGAGATATTTGAGTTTAGTTTTCAACATCTCATCAAGTTGTTAAAAATACAAATATTGCACAGAAGCTAAATAAATTCAGGTATAAAATGAAAATCAGATTTCTAGTTGTCAAATTCAGGAACCTTCTATCCATTCTCATTGTGTTTGAAACCTTTGCTAGGCATTTGTCACATTTCTCAAAACCTTTCTCTTGCCCTTGAATCACCTGCCTCTGATTGTTTCCTCTCCACTGCTTTAGTCGTCTCTTCTGTTTAACTCCGGTAGTTCCCAGGGGTTTTTCTCCTCATTTCTTCCATTCTGGATAATCTTACCCCTTTCCACAATTTCCGTTCCTGTCTGTGTGCTAGGGATTCCACAGGTCTGTATGGAGTTCCTGCAGTCATTAAATATCTAACATTATTTCTATTTTCTCTTCCCTTCTTGAAATTTACTAATTTTCTTGTATTATTAATCTGTTAATAAGGTCAGAGTCTGTCTAATTTCCCAACTAGCTTTGGTCAGTATTGATTCCTCCCTTATCCTGTCTACTGACTCATCTCACCTTCCCACGTGTTCAGTTGTCTAGAAACCAAGTTCTTTTCTCTGTCTTCCATTGCTGTTATGGACCATGTTTCAACTGGTTCTAGTGTAGCTTACGAGGAGTTCTTTGTGTATCAGTCCAGGCCAACTTTGTCTCCAGTATCAGCATCAACAACAAAAATCTGTTGGTCATCTCACCTATTAATTTCTTACTGACTATGAAATAAATTCCAAACTGCTTAGCCTAGCAATCAAGTCTCATTCACAGTTAAAACTAAACCTATCTTTGTACTCCAAACTAACTCCGGCCACTTTTCTCACAATTACTAAAACTTCGCAGCTCTGTGACTGTACACATGTAATTCCCTTCTGTATCTTTTCTATGAATGTCAGTCTCCCCATACCTTCGTAATCCCTTTAGCATGGGGAAAATAGTGCTCAGATATAGTTGTTCTGTGCTTCTAAGATACAGTCATTTCTTTTTACTACCATTTGCCATGTTGTATAGTACGTTGTTTCTGTAATTAAATCGCCACTAGAATAGTTATTCCATGAGTTATCAATCCAATAAATATTAAACTCAAATTTAAGTTGTCCATTAGTATCTAACTGAAAGGTTTTTTTTAAGATATTAACTAAATTTACCCTTTCCCTTCTGGATTTAGAACGATTTAAGAGAGACAATGAGATAGATATCTAACTGTCAGTTCTAATTCTGATGGAGCTGAATTGGAGAACTCGATTTGGATCTGAAGCTATGATAGCTAATAACACTATTTTCGATGGCATATATCATCTCTTGCTTCTACATATCCCTCACAACTAATAATTCTACCTCTAAAAAAAATACGAACAAAATTGAAGGAAAATATTTAAGAATATTCCCACAATTTTTACTGTACTACAGAAAAATTTGTTGTTATAGATCAACAAATAAGTGCATATTAAATTTTTAATGCCAACTGAGAGTAAAATTGTCATTGCACTGAAACTTTTTAACTATAAAATATTAACCTGTTATTTAAAATTCCTTTTGGGAAGTGATGTGACAGTAGCAGAATTTAGAAGAAAATTGTTTTGCTGAAACTTTTTTATAATTTAAAAAAAAGCCATCAATACATTCTTAGAACTGCACATTTACTTCACAGAGTATCCTGTTTACGTGCTTAATTTCATTATTACAAGTTAAGATACAGTTGTTCTTCTGATAAAATGATGGACATCTCTTCTAATTAAAAATAGTCATTTCTTGCCCTGCTGGTGTGACTCAGTGGTAGAGTCAATCAGTGAACCAGGAAGTCACGGGTCGTTTCCTGGTCGGGGCACATGCCCGGGTTTTGGGCTCCATCCCCAGTAGGGGGCCTGCACGAGGCGGCCCGGTCAATGACTCTCATCATTGGTGTTTCTATCCCCCTCTCCCTTTCCTTTCCTATCTCTTTAAAACCAAAAAAAAAAGAAAATAGTCATTTCTTTACGAAGATGGGAAGTAATAAGATTAATGTTATTATTTTTTCATAATTACATATTTTCATGCAAAAAGGTTTTGAGTCATTTAGAATAATACAACATCTGTATTATGTTTTACAACAAGAAAACTTAATGTGTCATGTGATGTAATCCCTTACACCTTTTAAAAGTGAATGGATTCCACGTATCAGCGAGATCATGTGATGTAAAGAACTTAATAAACTGATGAACAGAATAGATTCAATGACATGGAGGCATAGATCAGACTGACAAATCTCAGAGGGATGGAGGAGGGTAGGTGGGTGGAGGGGGAGAGACCAACCAAAGGATTTATATGCATATATGCACAACCCAAGGACACGGACAATGGTGGAGAGAGGGACTGGGGAGGGGGACGAGACACGGTGGAACAGGTCATTGGGGAGAAAAAGGGACATCTGTCATATTTTAAACAAAAATAAAATTTAAAAAAAAATAAAATAAAATAAAAAGTGAATGGAGCCTGGCTGGCATGGCTCAGTGGTTGAGCATCGACCTAGAATCCAGGAGAACGAGTTTTGATTCCGGTCAGGGCACATGCGCAGGTTGTGGGCTCGATCCCCAGAAGGGGACATGCAGGAGGCAGCCAATCAGTGACTCTCATCATTGATGTTTCTCTCTCTCTCCCTCTCCCTTCCTCTCTCTGAAATCAATAAAGACATATTAAAAAAAAAAACTGAATGGAACAAATCCAAGTAAGCATATACTTTAAGAAATATGCTTCTGCTTACAAATGACCTGTTTGAAACTACACATTAGCCCTTCTTAATGTTCTTATGCTCCTTGATTCATTATTATGACCTCTTTCGTTTTTGCTTCTGCATTCTTCTTAAGAAAAAAGTTATTTCACATCATACACTTTTAATATTTTCCAGTTGAAAATGAAGATGAGGCTGAAAGGGTTCTTTTTTCCTATGGCTATGGTGCTAATGTTCCCACAACAGCCAAAAGACGACTAAAACAAAGGTAAAATCAATATATATTTTGTTTTACTTATCTATTTGAGCTAAATGTAATTACATTATGCTTTTTTGATAGTCTGCTGAGTTGTGTGACAAAGTAAAGTTACTTTATTCTTAGTATGCATAAATATTAAATTGCTCACAAAATAAAACATGGTAAGTAATAATGATGCATTCTGTGTATTTATAAGTGAATTTAATGGTTGGTAGAATAGAAGCTTGCATTAGAACTTTTCTAGAATTAGATTCAGTGATAATTTTATTTTTATTTTAATTTTATTTTCTCATTAGTTTCAGGTGAATTACAAATGCTTTTGTACCACTGATGTTCAGGTTAAAATTAATTAATTATAGTTCTTCTTTCTCCACTTGTTTTTATTCACCTGCCTACATTCCTTGACATATACTTGAGACAGCAAAAGAGAGATGGAGATAGTACAAATATTGTAGATTGAATGTATAAAAAACTAATTGTGAAGACCAAGAAAATTTTTGAAAGATCCATTAGTTATCTTGTGAGATACTGCTTAAAGTACACTGAGAGAAAATTGTACCGATATTCATCAGTTTTCTGGTTGACCTAACTCCTAACTCCTTTAGCTCATCTGATTTCATTCTGCTTTACAAAAACATCACTCCCCCATTCACTACCATATGAAGACTAATGTTTCTACCAGACTTCTAAGCCCTTCCAAGTGGCCACACCTCTCCAGCCTTCTTTGCTTCTTTACACAGAATGAAGGTAGTATATATCTCTGCTGTAAACATCTGATTTCTTCATACTGTACAATACAGCATTTCTTTTCTCATTAGCTCTCATTTCCCATATTATTTCTTCAGCTAGATGGAAAGTTCCTCAAGGTCAGCAACTACATCTTGTTCTAATAGTACAATTGACTCTTCATCTGAGTATTTGAGGACTCAAAGCTGCTTGTTTATCTTTTAATATTTATTTAAACCTTTAGAGACATTACACTAAGTAAGAAAAACAAGCCATCTTAACACCAATACTTTTGTAGAAACTTTGAAGTGATGGCTTAGAGAATATAATGTCTCTATGGCTATCTAAAGTGATGTAAGATACAGACCATTTTATGAGAAGTAAAGGGATGCTTAGAATTTGTATCTCTTGCTAGTTAAACTAAGTACCTGGAAAATTTTAGATCAAATATAGATTACTAGCAAGTATCAGTTAGTAACTGGACTGGTTCATTCTGTTTGGTACAGATACAAGTATTTCTGAATTTTGTATTATTTGAAAAATTGCTTATAGTCCCATCCCATTCCCATTCTTCCCCAAGTCCCTCCAAAGATCACTAAATGTAACCTACACTATTTTGAATTTTCAGCATATCTCTGGTTTTGAGCATTATGTTATCTGGGGAGGAATAAAAACATAGGTTTGTGGACAAGTGACGACTTTATCAGTGGTAAATGATCGCTAAAATACTGAATATTAAAATTTGATGGAAAAAGTCCGTTCTCTGTTTTAGCGTCTGAATCCTTCAAAAGAATCTTGTCACAGAAAAAAAAAAAATTTTGCTATTGTAGGCTTTCTTTCTTTAACCCAAATACTGAGTTCCTCCAAAATTGAAAGCAAGTATTGCTTATTTTTTTAAGCATTTCCAAAACAGATATTGACTTATTAAAATTTAGAGTGAAGATTTAAGGAACCGCAACTGATTCATATCCCAATAATCTTAACTGTCCAAATATTTCTAAAGATTTTATCACTGAGCTATCTGTGTGCCTTGAACAAGTGCCTAATGGGCATGCTATTAATATCTCCTACCAGCTGGTGCCAGACATTCTTCTAATGGTGAACCAGAGGGTTATTTTGAGGAAGTGCTTCTCAGGTCATCTAAACTGAGTGAACGGAAAGTAAGTCTAGATCTGCAAGGAGGACACGTATGCATTCCTTTACCCATTCATTCAACAACTTTTATTGAGTGCCTACTATATGCACAAAATTGATCAGTGGCACAGAAGATCCGTTTAGGGTCTGGTGCATTTTTGAAGTTTGCAAAGTCCATATTTGATTTCTTAATGGATATTTGTAAATAAGTCAATAGCTTTGTGCTCTGTTTAAGGTAAAATCAGTATAGCCTTTGAGAGAATTTATATTTTCACATTTGGGATTAAAGCAATGGAAACTTAAGGTATTATAAAACAGTTTAGGTAGAACAGCAAATGAAATACTTGCATAATAAAGTTTTTATTATACAAAATATATTAAAATTTCAAAGGAACTTATTTCCTAACTACTACACAATGTATTCTCTTCATAGTAAATTTGATTTAAAATCTCATATATTCAACAACCAGATTTAGGTATGTTAGGGTAACACTTAATTGAAGGGGATTACTTATTATAAAATAATATGTTTATTTTAGAAAATTAAGAAAATTTCTGATAATTCTCCCATCTAAATATACTGTTCAAAAATGTATACAGATATATTTTTTCTTATATATTAGGATATTATTGTATATAATTTAGAATTTTGTTTTTATCTTATAATTCTACCCTGAACATTTTTTTATGTCACTGAATTGTCTTTAAAAAGATAAATGTTATTAGTTATCCAAAAGTTTAATTTTTAGGCCTTCTGTTTTTGTGTGCCATATTGCTCTTAAGAAGCTGGATAGCCACTGAAATTTTTCATTAGTTTCCTATTGCTACCCAAGCAAAATTATGAAATTAAAATGAAAAAATAGATGCAAAATTCACAGTTAATTTGTTATGCTAGTTAATGTTTCTTAAAGTAAATTGCATAGTTGATTTTAGAGCAAAGGCCAGTGTTCCAAAAACTTTACCTAGGTACACTTTGAGTTTTTATTTATAACACTTTTGTTTTAAAATTTTAATGAGACCTCTTGAAATAATTAGTAGAGACACACCCTGGACATGAAACTAGTTTTGAGATTCATTTTCTTTGATGCCAATCAGTTTCTTAAGACATATACTGTAACGCCAATCTCGTATAAAGAAGTATCAAAATTAACTTTTCAATATTTGCAAAATAACTCCCCCCAAAAAATGTCTTAAACAAATTATAATTAGTAAATAAGGCTACTCGAATTTTGAAGTTTCTATAGAGAGAGGAACAATAACTAGATATTGTGTTAAACTGTTTCTGAACAACTTTGTGGAGAGTTAAAAGGGCTTATACAATTAAAGTAGATTAAAATAAAATGGGCACTTCTTGACTTGACTAAACTTGAAAATCTGAAGTAATGTTTTTGTTTCGGTCATGATTACTTTGAAAATAGCAAACAAGATTTTCTGGTTACATGTTTTGGTTATGCTCTTTAACCTGGGTAACACCCAAGCACTAACGTGGTCTTAGTGTGTGCTCCTGTGTTTGTTTTCTCAGACCTGAATGTGGAGACTTCCCTGGAGGTTTTTAAACCTTTCAAATTGCAAGATCACTGCATACTGTAGACCTTTTATTTGGGTTTCTGTCTAGTTTTATAAAGAGCTTTAAGTTGAAATTTTCACAGTTGATTGAGCTTCATAACAAAGGAAAAAATAAGGCCAGGGAAACTTTTATTTCCTCTAGCAAACTTTTGTATGTAGCAAAAATTTGTTTTTCTCTCCTTTGTTCTCATATGTATGAGTTCTCATTTTTGTCCTTAGGGAAAGCTGTGCTTATTTCATCTGAGTTGGTTTTAGGGCTAGTCCTTTAAAAAGTTAATGCAGTCTATTCATGATCAACTTGAAAGTTCAGACCTATAGAAGAAACTAGAGAAAGTCTCATATAACATAGATAATCAGCATGAGACCACTATTTAGTTTTCAGTCACTACCAACAGCAGGCAATACAAGGACCAACCTGAAGCATTCTGAAGATGGAATCATTCTGGCAAATGTGCCCTTTTTAAAAACCATTTATCCATGCCATGCTCTAACCTGCTAAAACTGAAAAAGACTTAAAAAGCCAAGTGTTATTTCAAACCATGTAACTAATTAACAAGTATATAAATATATACACCTGTTTATTTGCAGTTTTGATAATACTAAGAGAAACATTGAAGGACTCGGAACAGAGCATCGGTCCTTCATTGTGCTTTGACATCTAAGGTATAAATAGAGGTCTTCCATGCTCACATTGGCTGGGCTAATTATGAAATTGTATGTAATGATTGGATGTATAGATCATTGACAGATCCAAGAGAGTGACTTTTATTTGGAGTCAAGGAGTGACGAGAGATGCCGGCCGGCCGTGGCCTAGCGGTTGAACATCGACCTATGACCTAGGAGATCGCAGGGTTCAATTCCTGGTCAGGGCACATGCCCGGGTTGCGGGCTCTATCAGTGACCTTCTCATCATTGATATTTCTGTCTCTCTTCCTTCCTCTCTCTGAAATCAATAAAAACATATTTTTTTAAAAAAGAAAAGAAAATTTAAACTCAGCTTGTCATACAAGGCCTTTCATCATGGAGCCCTGCCCGTATCCCTCTAGCTTCAGCCCTCACTACCCACCGTGTGTTTTATCCATCAATACCGTGCTGCTTACACTTGTATCCAGCAGATCATTCTTTACTTAGCTTTCCCTCTACCCAGGATGCTAGTTCTCTGCCTCTTCACTAGATTAATGAGTATTAGTTTTTATTCCTGTGTGCCCTTCATAGAATTTAGCACACTACAATATTTTTTTTATTTGCCCACCTACCTCAGTAGAATGTTAGATCCTCCAGGTAGAAATTGTGTATTCCCAGTACCTGTATAGATTAAAGGCTTTTAATAAATGTTTGTTAAAAGAAAGTGTTTGTAAATATCTTTTTTAATTAATGAATTTTTCTTTGAATTCAACCTGCTTTTCTGCAGTCATTGATATTCATGATCAAAATTAAAAATTGCTAATTTTCTTTTTATCACTTTTGTGTAATTGCAAGTATTATAATCATGAAAAATTATAGTTCTTATTTTTCTGTGTGTTCTATATGCTTAAATATATAATTTTTTAAAGAGAAAATTTCACAGTATTACTCTTTATTCTTGTTCTTGTTTTTTTATTCCTGGTGGGGTTTTTTCCCTTTTTCCCCCCCCCTAAAGCATCATGGGCTAAATGGGTCATTTAGAGCAACCTGAGACCTTAATATCATTTCTGATATATACATGAGATGTGTTCTGCTAGCCTTATAACTGACTCAGAAGTGAATTTTTAAAATACAATCAATGGGTCAATTGGAGACCAATTGTAGCACAGTGTTTTTCATCTATATTATAACCATTATGCATCATAAATGGCACCAACATTCATAAACAGTAGTCACAGTCATTCCCATCAGCACCAGTTCCTAGAAAGCTTTTCTCAATAAAATAGTACTATAAGCTAGTAATCAACACTGTGGGACACATTTATGAGCCATTTTTAAAAGTCATATCTTCCTGCTATTTACAGTTATTTTTTTCATTCAGAATCCCTTAACCAAAATCAGGGAAATTCTTAGTAGAAGGAGGTAGCCCTGATGGTAGGACTTAAGCACCAGCATACCCAGACTTTCTTGAATTTAGTGTTTTATGTAATGTGATATTTTGCATTGATAATTGGTATCACACCATATTTGCATAAGAGCATTATGCAGGTTCCAAACAAAACAAAAAGCACCCAAACCCTATGAGCTACTTAATATTTTTAAACTTCATGTCTTTATGTTATTGTCTGAAGAATATTGGTAATAGATGACCTTTGCATCTCATTATTTTCTTGCATCCCTTTTTCTTCCATTTCATTTAATCTGTAAGTGATTATTTGCAATAGCATTTGATTGTGTTCATTTTTCTATACTGAGTATTACACAAATACTGAGTTTACAACATATATTCATTGAGAAACTACTATGTACAAAAAGACCGTAGTGCTGTTTTGTGGGAGACAAAACAGTGAAAAGACTTATTCCTAACACATGTGAAGGATGAAAGAGATTGAAAATATGAATGAAAATAATGTCAAGTTTTTAAAATTAGCCTTTAAAAAAAAAAAAGCTAATAATCTAAAATACAGATGTTTGCAATCATATAATATAATATAAAATTAGCATTAAGACTTATTTTGTTTGTAGAGATCTTATTTTATTTTTTTGCAGGGGGAGGAGTTGGGGGGATGGGAAGAGATTAACCAAAGAATTTATATGCATATATGCATGATTCATGGACACAGATGATAGTGTGGTAAAGGCCTGGGGTGAGGGGGATATAGGGAAGGATTTTAGAAGGGGTCAATGGGGAAAAAAGAGGACATCTGTAATACTTTCAACAGTAAAAATAAATTTTTAAAAAGAGATTTTATTTTAGATCAAATTTGAAACAATTTGGTATATTTTAGGTTGGAGATGGAAAATGGGGATCCAAAAACTATAAACACCTTAAAAATCTGTAAAGGAAGAAAGAAGTTAGTGGTTCCCTAGGTCTGGGCAGGCGAGTGATACTAATGAGTACAAATTTTGGGGGGGCTAATAAAAATGTTCTAAAGTTAGGTTATAGTGATAGTTGAACAACTCTAAATATACTGAATACCACTGATTTGTACACTTTAAGTGGTTGACTTCATGGTATATAAATTACATATCAATAAAGTTTTATATCAGTAAAGCTGTGTTTTGTATAAAATGATTGTTAAAAAACAGGAACTATGTCTTTTTCATCTCTTACTTCAACTGGTTATTAAGGCAAAATCTTATGCCAGTTCAAAGGATAGAAACTTAGATATGAGCTTATCCAAATAAGCTACCTAATTTACTATATAAACTTTTACCAGAATTCATCTTTTTTATTTGGAAAAATGAGAACAAGTTCTTAGAAATAGATTTGTAAGATTATATTTAGCCTTATTTTCAGAGCTTTGTCTGCATTCCTTTATCTGATGTTAGAAAATACTAAAAAATACAATGGAATCATTTATGTCATATAGTTTTATTTAGAAAGAAAATATTTTATTTCTTGACATGGTAAAACATCCTGTCTTCTTGGATTCCAAGAGGTTTTGAAAGTAAGGTATTAATAGGTCAACTCATAGAAAATGAAAATGTTATAAATACGAAGTTTTTAAGTGTTTGGAATTACAGAAAGGTCTTTGGAGCAACACATCTTCTCAACAAAATTAGTAGTTCTTAAAAGAATTATGCCATTTTTTCTCCTTAGTAGTTAGGAAAAATGATTTTATAGCTGAACTTTTTGTTAAATTGTGTCTTAAAAGTGGAGTTGGAACATTTCACATTTAATGTGATTTTAAATTCTAAAGGTAACCTAATTTTAATGGTTATACTCAATACAATAGACATTTTTCATCTTTATACATCTTTTCCATCTCTACTTTAAATAGAAAATCTATTTAGTTGTGTTTTGTATTATAAATGCATCATGTTATCTGAGGTAAACACTGATTTTTTTCAAAGTGCAAGCTTATTGTTTTAACTAATTTCCTGATTTGTTCACAAATGGGAAATTTTTATAAAAATGGAGAAAAGCTGTAAATTGCTATCTTGTGGTCTTTTTAAGCAAGTATCATAATGTAGCAAGTGTATAAACCATTACTGTTGTAATCAATATATCTCAGTTATGTTATTACGGAGATTTTAATCTTACTTCCCAAATTCTGAGTTGTTGGAATATTGGTCTTTACTGTTCACATCTGAAAATATTTTTTTCTGTTAACATTTAAGTATTATTAGGAAATGGTAAGCCAGTTTTCAAGCACACAAGGCACATTTTCAGTATTTTAGATAGCATTCCCCTTTTCTAAGCATTAATTTTTTTATTTCATTTGCCTAGTGTCCATTTGGCAAGAAGAGTACTTCAGTTAGAAAAACAAAACTCATTGGTTTTAAAAGACCTGGAACATCGAAAGGACCAAATAGCACAGCTTTCACAAGAGGTAAATAACTTTAAAAAAACATATATATAAAGAATCACAGCGTTTAATCTTTGTTACTCCTTTGTGTATTTTCTGAGCAGTTTTAAAATAAGTGGTTTGATGGTACAAAATGATTTTACAATTTATGAAACTAACTTGATGTTAAAGCCTTATAAAACAATTTACAGTATATGGCAAAACTAAGATCAAAAGGGAGATTAAATGCTCAGACTAAATATAAATGCAGACTAGACAGAGCTCTGGTTTCTGGGAATATCAACTGGCAAAACAAGTTTGACAAATTTCAATGGCATTTTAGGTTTTTTAACTAAAGCCCCATTTTTGAAATAGATTTGCTTTTTTGGTTTCTTTAATTGATTAAAAATCCCTTATCTACTATACACACTTAACTTGGTATAACCTTAAGCTCTCACATTCTTCACTATATGGTAGTTCCCAAATTATATATCTTAAAAATCAGATTTATATTTTTTTATTTTCCTTAGCCTTATATTGTATCATTTAAGGAATATACAGTTGAACCTTGAAAACCAAGGGGTTAAGGATGCAGACATGCACCCTCTCACCACCGCAGTTGAAAATCCCTGTGTAACTTTTGACTCCCCCAGAACTTTTCTGTAAATAGTCATCCCTCGGTAACTGCTGGGGATTGGTCCAGGACACACACACAGTTACCCAAATCCACAGATGCTCAAGCCCCCTGTATGAAATGACGTAGAACAGTGCGTACAGTTGCCCCTTGAAACCGCAGATTCCCAATCTGGGATGCGAAACCCAGAGATGGACGTTTGACTCTATATTCATTGAAAAGCATTCACCTGTAAGTGAACTCACGCATCAAACCCATGTTGTTCAAGGGTCATGTATGTGTTTTACATAGTATTTTCAATCCTTATTACTTAAGTCAACATCTAATTACATATTTCTGTACTTCTGAAATTCAAATAATAAAACAATTAAAACCATCGCCCTGGCTGGTTTGTCTCAGTGGTTAGGGTGTCAGCCCCTTGGACCAAAGGGTCCCTGGTTTGATTCCCAGTCAAGGGCACATACCTGGGTTGCAGGTTCCCTGACCAGGTGCGCCTGGGAGGCAACCAGTTGATGTGTCTCTCTCACGTAGATATTTCTCTCTCTCCCCCCCCCTTCCTCTCTCCCTTCCACTGTCTCTAAAAATGAATAGAGAAAATGTCCTCGGGTGACGATTTAAAAAAAACAACCATAGATGCCACTTCACTAGATGCCACTTTTAAAGTTATATATTAAAAAATATTAATACATGTATTCTTCATATGTTTTTTTAAGGACCTGCTGTCCATATTTGTCTTTATAGTGCCCTCTATTAAAATGCTATTAATATTGTAACATCTTTATGCTCAAATTTCAGAAGTTCAAATCTTCTATGATACTGCAGTGCTGACACATACTTAATGCTCAGCGTGGAAGCAGTGTCCTCATTTGCATGTATCCATGGGATAAATATTCCCACCGTGACTAACTTCAAGCTGCCAATACAATGTTACTGAATGCAGACAGAGTAAAGATGCTCAGTAGCACACCATTACATAATGCTTCCACCACACAAATACAGTAGATGTGTTGTAAGCTCAAGAGCATAGATAATAGTAAACTATAGTAAAACAATTAAAATTTGATTTTCTTTTAGTATCCCTTTTTTAAATAAAATTTGTTTTATTTTAAATCTAAATAAAGTTTTAATAATAGTGGTATTTAAAACCAGCTCACAAAATTCCTAAAAATTTACCAGTCAGCTCTTAAAAACTACAAGCCAGCTGCAGCACACTGCAGGATCAAACCATGGAAGGCTATGTAAATGAATGACTAAAATAACAAATGAACCTCTGCACACTAATATATTATAGATCCATTGTTTTTGTTTTATTTTCAGAATAACTTATCAAAAACATTTCTTAAAAAAATAAAATATTAAAATTCATGTAAACTGCCTGGCCAGCGTGGCTCAGCAGTTGAGCATCAACCTATGATCCAGGAGATCAAGGCTCAATTCCTGGTCAGGGCACATGCCCAGGTTGCGGGCTTGATCCACAGCAGGAGTGTGCAGGAGGCAGTAGATCAATGACTCTCTCATTGATGTTGCTGTCTCTCTCTCTCTCCCTCCCACTCCCTCCCTCTCTCTGAAATCAATAAAGACATATTAAAAAAAAATTCATATAAACTTGTGCGTATGTATGTCATCATATTACTTTTTTTTTAAAAAATACCTTGCACCTGGCTGGGCGTGGCTCAGCGGTTGAGTGTCGACCTAGGATCCAGGAGATCGGGGTTCAATTCCCAGTCAGGGCACATGCCTGGGTTGTGGGCTGCAGCCGATCAGTGAATCTCTCATCATTGATATTTCTGTCTTTCTCTCTCCCTCTCCCTCCCTCTCTCTGAAATCAATAAAGATTTTTTAAAAAAAAAGAATACTTTTTTTAAAAAAATAAATAAAATAAAATAAAAAACACATTGCAACAACATTAAAAAAATTTTAATTTAAATTTTTTTTTAAAAAAACACCTGGGAGCACTTCAGTTCATTTAAATAGGAATTTCTAAATGGATACACACTCCTATACAAATTGTACGGGGGAAATATAAGAAATTAAATTAAGTAATTACATTTTAATGAAGTATAATTAACTTTACATGAAGCAATTTTTAAAAAACTTATATAATATTGAGAAAAAGACTTAAATATTGAAATATTTGTGATATGAAATGGTATGGTATGTGCAATGTGTTTCAAAATATTCCATAAGCAAGAGGGAGAGAGGGCTCAATAGATTTTTTTTAAAAACAAACTGTGGATAATGTTTGAAGCTGGGTGATGGGTACATATAGTTCATTATTCGGTTTTATACTTTTGTATATGTTTGAAAATTTTTTCATAAGACATATGGAGAATCAGTAAACCTGTATTAAAAGGTTTATGTAGAGTGTATAACTTCCCTTAAGATTTAAAATAAATTTGTAACAACCCATGAATCTTACTCTTTTCCACCCCACAAAAAAGATGTTACAAACATAGCTCCTTTTCTTGCACTGTTTTACAAATTGAAGGTTTGTAGCAACCCTGCATTGAGCAAGTTTGTCAGCGCCATTTTTTCAACATTTGCTCACTTTGCATCTCTGTGACAATTTAATTTTGATAATATTTCGAACTTTTTGATTATTGTTATATTTGTTATGGTGATCTGTGATCAGTGATCTTTGATGTTACTATTGTAACTGTTTTGGACCTCCATGAACCATGCCCATATAAGAACTAACTTAATTGATAAATGTGTGTGTGCTCACTGCTCCACCTACTGGCCGTTCTCTCATATCCACGCTCCTCCCAGTTCACTGAGACACTACAGTATTGAAATTAGTCCAATTAATAACCCTACAATGGTCTCTAAATGTTCAAGTGAAATGAAGAGTCTCATGTCTCTCACTCTAAATCAAAAGCTAGGAGTGATTAAGCTTAGTCAAGAGGGCGTGTCATAGGCCAAGAAACCTAGATTGGAAGCTAGGCCTCTTGTGTCAAAAAGTTTGCCAGGTTGTGAATTCAAAGGAAAAGTTCTTGAAGGAAATTAAAAGTGCCACTCAGTGAACACACAAATGATAAAGTGAAACAGCCTTATTGCTGATATGGATAAAGTTTTAGTGATCTAGATAGATCACTGCAGCCACAACATTCCCTTAAAGCAGGAGTGTGGAACATCCGGCCCATGGGCCATATTCAGCCCATGAAATCATTTGGTCTGGCCCTGCCAAGGCAACCACAGGTGGGACTCAAAACTCAATAAATCTAGGAGCTTTTTTTATAGCTAATTTTTAAGTTGATAAATTTGTATGGCCTTCAAATGATGTTATAAATACCCAAATGGCCTTTGGCAGAAAAAGTTTCCCCACCCCTGCCTTAAAGCAGAGCCAAATCCAGAGCAAGGCCCTAATATTTTTCAGTTCTCTGAAGGCTCAGAGAGGTGAAACTGCAGAAGAAAAGTTTGAAGCTAGCAAAGGTTGGTTCATTAGGTTTAAGAAAATAAGCCATCTCTAAGTCATAAAAGTGAAATACTAAGTGCTGATGTAGAAGGAAGCTACAGTAAATTATCCAGAAGATCTAGCTAAGATAATAAATTTGTTACACTAAACAAAAGATTTTCAGTGTAGATAAAGCAGCCTTATATTGGCAAAAGGTGCCATCTAGGACTTTAATAGCTAGAAAAAAGTCAATGCCTGGCTTCAAAGGACAGGCTGACTCTCCTGTTAGGGGCTAATGCAGCTGGTGACTTTAAGTTGAAGCCAGTGCTCATTACAGAAATCCTAGGGCCCTTAAGAATTATGTTGGATCTCCCCTCTCTGTGTTTATAAATGGAACAACAAAGCCTGGATAACAGCACATCTGTTTACAACATGGCTTACTGAATATTTTAAGCCCACTGTTGAGACTTACTACTCAGAAAAAAGATTCCTTTCAAAATATTACTGCTATTGACAATGCACCTAGTCACCCAGTGCTCTGATGGAGATGTACAACTAGATTAATGTTGTTTTCATGCCTGCGAGCACAGCATTCATTTTGCAGCTCATAGGACACAGAGTAAGTTTGACTTTGAAGTCTTCTTATTTAAGAAATACATTTCATAAGGCCATAACTGCCATAGCTAGTGATTCCTCTGGTGGATCTGGGCAAAGTAAACTGAAAACCTTCTAGTAAGGATTCACCATTCTAGATGCCATTAAGAATATTCATGTCCATCCCGGCCGGGTGTGGCTCAGCGATTGAGCATTGACCTAGGATCCAGGCGATTGGGGCTTGATTCCGGGTCAGGGCACATGCCCTGGTTTTGGGCTGCAGCCAATCAATGACTCTCTCATCATTGATGTTTCTATCTCCTTCTCCCTCTCCTTTCCTCTCTCTGAAATCAATAAAGATATATTTAAAAAAAAAAAAAAAAAAGAATATTCATGTCCAGCTGGGCATGGCTCAGCAGTTGA